CCAAAATCTAATGTGCTCGAAATACGTATCTTAACTAATATATATCCTATTTTGAAATGGTATTATTACCTATCATGTCAACAGTCATGTTTACTTTTAAAATGGTATTATTACCTATCATGCCCGAAATACGTATATTAACTAATATATATTAACTATATGGTATATTATTTCTTTTGTAATACTGATATAAAATTTAATTGACATCTTATTATATGTATAATATATTACATACCCCACATAAAGTTATCCTTTTTTTAAACTGATAGTATGAAGTTATGATTTCTCATACCGTTGAGAAATTAAGCATGTTTTGAGCACACATTACAAATTATATATTATTAACATAAGTTTTCAAATTAGTTGCTTATGAAGTAGAGTTTTGACTTGGTTAAACATGTTCACTTACTGTATCGAGATCACCTCACAAACATGCTCTAACTTACTGTTTTTGTTTTTATTTCAGGTGCATTCAGAAACATCAAACTTGTATTTTTTTTGTAATTTACTTTGATGAATGTAATTCATTGGTTTTAGGGCCTTGAATAAGGTGCCTCATATGTAATAATTAAATAGTTTAGGATTGCAGGTTTCCATAGCCACTTCACCAGGTAAATCTTTTAATCCTTCTTTATCTTTATTATCAGCCTTTGTGAAAATATAACATGTATCTTCTGTGATATTTAAAATGTAGTCAAACGTTTTAGGCAGCAAATACTGTGCTATAATTTAATCCAACTTTTTATTGTTACTTAATTCAACAAAAAAACTTCCACAGTTTTTGTGTATTTGCAAAAATGGTTTTACCAAATTTTGTGTTTAAGGTTCTACAATGTTTTTAGTTTGAATATTTTATAAATTTAATTTTCGAAATCTATTATAATCAATTCTTCCCGTTGTGTAGGTTTTTTAAACATATGAAACTTACAAAAACCATTTTTTTCGAAAATAGTGTCACCATAAATTCAATTTTCAATATTGAATGTAATTTAGTTAAAAGAGTAGAAAACATTAGTTTTTCGCAAACATATTATTATTGCATAATCGATATTATGGTTTCATCTTTTAACTATATGGCAAAAGTTGTAGCTTTCTTTTCCCACCATTCCTATTTCTTCATTTTAAGCAGCAAATACTGCATGTTGTATGATTTTTGTCAATAACATTTTTGTTATTACATAAATTCTCACTACAGTAGATTTTTATTATATAAAGAAATATAAACAAATATGTATTTCTGATCCTCGAAATAAATATTAAAAACCCACCTATTTATAGATTTATTATTATTATTAAATTATCCAAAGAATTTCCCCCCAATGCTTTTTACAATCCACTTAAATGAAGTACCGATTTAAATTAAGTTTGATCAATCTATTTTCATCTTAAACTTTATTTAAAACCCATACCAGCATTTACCTAAAGTTATAGATTTTGTCATAGACATTTTTAAAAATCTAGATTTGATTCAACTTGAGGATTGTGTTTTATTTATTATTAACAAAAGCTTATTAATTAGTTGCTTAAAAGTACATAATACATTAAGTATAGAATAAATTAGATCTTCCTCTGACTTGGTGTTTTAATTTACATTTCAGGTGCGTTCAGGAACATTATGAATTATGTAATTATTTTTTCTTTTAGTTTAATGAATGTAATTCATAGTTTTTAGGGCCTTTAATAAGGTGCCTCATATGTAATAATTAAATAGTTTAGACCTCTAGGAATGCAGGTTCATTAGCCACACCAAACACCAGGTATGTCTATCTTCCTTTATTATTATCAGCCTTTGTCAATATATAAATTGTATGATGTATGATTTTAAATGTAGTCAACATTTTAGAGAGCAGAAACCTTTTTAATTAACTTCAACAATAGTTAATTTTTTGTAATTCTGTTTCTATGTTTAACCAAAATCTTCATATTTCACTGCAAAAGTTTTGGTTTGAATTACAAAGTTGCAATTGTGTTACCGTTTCCTTTGACTGTAGGTCTGTAGCCAATATAGTCGAAAAAATGAATTGTAACATTACAATCTAAGTCGTAGGATTCTTTCCACACCAACACTTTTGTACTAACATTTTTGTTGGTAAATTTTCATGACATAAATCAGATGACATGTTTTTAGTGAACACATTTTCGAAATATTTATTTCGAATTTAGTTTAAGTTTGATAAATCTTCTTTTAATCTGTATTAACAAAAATTTGAACTAACATTTTTGTTAGTACGCTTTATCGTACTAACATTTTTGTTAGTAAATTGTCATCACATAAATTAGATGACACGTTTATATTGAACATTTTTTCGAAATATTATTCAAATTTAGTTTAAATTAATCTTTTTTAATCTGAAACTTATTTTTTAATCCTTATAAATTACACTACCTCCCACTTCGTTTTTCACCATTCGGTTAAACTTAGCCAACAAACACATTTTTTCATCAGATAATTTTTTTTGTAGGTTTGTTGTTTAAACTATAGTGCTATATAGTATTTTTTGAAAATACTTGAACTTTAAGTAACACAAAACCACATTTAATCTCATAACTTAATCGGGTTTTATTTATAATCAAAACAATTACAACTCTCATTAATAAGAAATAATTGCTGCCAAGAATTTCTATATGAATCAAGGCCCCTGGACTACTCTCTTCTGTCTTCGTTCCTCCATATCATGGTCTCCTGGTCTCCTTTCCGTTTCGTAGGTGTCCTTCAGCCTTAGGCTGATGCATCCTTAGGAGTTCTTTAACCCTGAAAAATTGACATTGCAAAATCTAACATAGAAAAATAGGTTTTGATGTAAAATATAAGTCTTAGGTTGATAATTGTTCATGCCTACAACTTGAACAATGCAAAATAGAGTTCATTATTACAGACCCAGCTTGTAGTTTAGCAAAAAAGTAAGGCACAGTTTTAAATAAATATGTAAGTGCCCAAACAAAATATTCAACAAATCATCAATCCACACTCCTTTTTCAAGCAAAATGTAGCTGAGCCTGCTGGTCTATCTTCACCATTATTCCTTTTCTTGCTTGACGCGGATACTTCTCCGTTTGATGTTAACATTGGCCGAAAACTGGTCATTCAGATTTCTCTTAAGTTGATCGTTCCCTTCAATACCACCAACTGTCCGAATAGTTGTTGGAGTTTCTAGGCAATCCACTTGCTTACCCTGTCCAGAAACAATTTGTATTTATTGCCTTGTTAGTTGACTCTATAGCGTCAAAATCAAATTCCACTCTATCAAAAAAGAATTTGATAACATCATCTACCTTTTCAGCCGCCCTCCTGTCATCTTTGTTTTCAACTTGTGTAGGCGACACGAAATCGTCATCTTCAATTAGAACAGTCTGCATACCAAATAAATTAGTATCATATGATACAACGAAATTAATAGGAAAGCTTATCCAGACCTTCTGTTTTGATTTACTGCTAGCAGTACCATATTCTATCTCGTTTCCTGTTGATCCGCTCTGCACTTATAACAAATGTTATATTATGCTGTCCACACCAAATCAAACATTTCAAAACATTTACCTTCTCTACATCTGTGTTTTCATCCATTTCAAGTGCATGGGTTTCATTTTTGGTATAGAGGTCCAAGATAGAATTGTCTCTTAACATTGCAAGTATCCCATATGAAACTGGACCTTTGTAAGAAGAACTTTCGTCTCTTGCTTTTATTTGAATTTTGAAGATTCCTCTTTGATCAATCAAAGCCTCAATGTCCTCAGGGAAGTGGGTAGGGTCTCCCGTTTTCAGAAAATAAAAAACTTAATGAATTATCTTCCTTTTTCAGAATTGCTAGTGTAAAAAGTATTTTTTTGAATCAACCTTTTCAACTTCCTTTCTTAATGTTGCTGCTGTTTTCCCCACAATATCTATACATTCCCTATCCCATAAGGTGAACGTAGCGTGACCTGAGTCATCCATGACACAAACTGAAACCTTGTACCTGCATACCGGAAGTTGGCAGATTAATGTTTGAAGTTAGTCTTATTTTAAAATAGTGGAAAGTGATATATCTTAACAAATAACACAACCTCAACACTCCCTCGGGAATAATCGTGTCACATGTGATGCATCTGAACCTTTCATCTTCTAGCTTTATTTTCTTGTCACTTAAGATTGTTAATTGTTTCCTAAAATGGAAATAAGAACCTTTATATGGGACATCTAAAAAGGAAAGTGAGAACCTTTCAATGGGTCATAGGGAGTAATTTTGCATAAATCAGCAGAATCAGTCAATTCTGACACTCTAGCCAGAATTTCATAAATTTTAACAGAATCAGTCGATTCAGCTCATTTTGTTATTATCAAATGGGCACTAAATAATCCAAGTGCAACATTTTCATCCGTAATAAATGTATAATACCATAGAATCCTCCATATTTAATTAGCTACATATTCAAATCGTCAAATGAGTCAAGTTACTAGATTAAGAGCTCCACCAAGGTCTACTATTAACGTTGCTCTGCATCAAATCTTCCCTCTTTTCAGATTCCACCTCCGGCCGATCAAACCCTCCCCCGGGGCCGGGCGCCTCTGTTAGGAACTGCTGCCAGAACACATCATTCCCACCATTAGCCACTACAGATGCTGAAGAGCTACCATCAACTTCACGATTACTATTACTTTCAGCTGGGCTTGTATTCATGTCAATCCTTGAACTCTTCTTGCGTTGCTGTTCTGTTTCTAAATTGATGACAAAACTTGAAGGTGATGATGGCTGGGAATGGACACCATGAATAATCCCACAACCATCTTGACTTGAATTGCCATCACAGCTGATTCCATGTATGAGATTCTCACAAAAATCTATGGAGGAATCCAAGTCTGCAACCAGATCATTCTGGGAACTCAAGAAACTATGGTTTTGGTCTTCATCAGATGAAATGGTGGAGGTGGTGGTAGTAGTACTACTGGGAATGCGAAGTGATAGTAATTTCCTCCTCTTGTTATGATCATCTAAGTGGTGAAGCACTGAAGATGCAAATGTGGGGTTCTGAGCGAGTTGACCCACGAGTTCCACGAGTTGACTCTGCCTTCTGTCAATGTTCTTCAGCCGATTCTCTAAGGAACAAAATTCGAATTTGTGGTCGAGGTTGTCTTTTTCATGCTTTTCTACCTGTGATTGAAGAGATGCATTTTCATTTCTTAGTCTCTCGATCTCGTCTTCGTATCCCCGCCTTTCCGAATCAGTAACCGGAGAAACAGAGTGGCTGTAGATTGGCTTACGCCGATGAATGTTCTTCAAGAGATGTGTTTGTCCTCTTATAAATTCTTCGTTTGCAAATTCCCACCTCTCTGAATCAGTCTTTCTGAACCCCTGGCCAAATATGATATCATATCATTCCAAGTTAGTTATAGGGCATTCAAAAAACTTTTTCCAACTCTACAAAATAAAATGAATATGGTACTTTACTAGTTATAGTTACTTCAATTCGGGATTCAATTTTAATCAATTAAACTTATAAATATGTATGTAGACAATTAGAGAAAGCTGGAATTAAATCTTGAATCTTGATATGTAATACTTACATATGTATTGAGCTGTCTGATAAAGCTGGAAAAATTGTTGTGCTTGAAGTATTTGGGAAGCATATCAGAACAAAACTTAGGTGGATCCCAAACCACGAAGCTATGCCCACTTTCATCCCATGAAACAATATGGTTGGACGATGGATCCTCAACCAATTCATATGTTTTCATCAGAAATGGCGCAGCTGCGGAACAACCGCCGCCGCCGCCGTCCTGACTTCCATCCATCATCGCACGACCACCAACAATTCTGTGTTTGTTTGTCCTGTTAATATAAAAAAATCTCACCCAGTGTAGAAATTGGCTTCAAAGTACCCAAAGATTGAATCTTTCACACAAGAAAAGGGATTTCCAAGGAAACCCAGATTTCAAAAGTCAAATTTCTAGGAAATATTCAACAACAGATTGAAAATATGAATAGAAGAACACAGATTAATGCGTTTTGGTTTAGGGGAAAATTCAATAAAGAAGAAGTGAAAGTCTTCTAGATAAAGCAGGAGTTCTAGCTAGAGAATGCATAATATAATGATATATACAGATGTGAATTGTGAAATAGTGGTAAGCTTGACCGGGAGAGAGTGAAGAGTTGACTAGCAAAAAGGGCGCGCTGGGGAGTGGTGATGAACGTCGGATCCGTCGATGTGGAATTTTCAACGGTCTATTCTTTTCGTTTTGTAATTCCGTCAGCGTTCCAAGTTGGAAGACTAGAGCTCATTAGTGGATTACCGGCCGTTTGCGTAATTTGAAAAATGTCAGGTACAAACACACTTACAAAAAAACTTACAAACAAGTGATGTGGCTATTCTAGTTACCATTGATGTAAAAGTGTTGTAAATGTGATGTGATGTGTTAAATATTGTGATGATGACACATACCCTTTTTGTAAGACTTTTTGTAAAATTTTTTATACCTCTAGCATAACTCGCGTAATTTTTTCACCCAAATATCGTCTTCTTTTTTAAGAAAAGTAAAATTCCCTCGAAAGATCAGGCCCACACGTTTGAATTTTTTGTCAAAATAATACTCTTATATTCCTTAAAATAATACTTTTGGAGTGTAAAAATAATCGTAAAGTTTTGGACATCTTTGTCCCTAGGGGTATTTTGGGAGTTTGGGAAAGGGATATAGCGTTATAGGGCTGAAACGCACTACCTTGAGTTTCAAACCCTTATGTGCCTAGCGAGTTTCGAATTTGAGACCTTTCACTATGCATATTAACCTCACAACCAGCTGAGTTGGAATGATTGGTTGTATTTATTTTAAATTAAACAAAAGTAATTCAATTAGTAATGATTTCAAACCGCTCAATTTAATTAGTGGAATTTAAAATTTCTACATTAGAAGGGTTTTCTAGTTACAAAATCCTTCAAAATTATCACTTCAAATTTTTAAACTCTCAAAGGAAAATTGAAAGATCATAACATTGTCATACTTTTCCTCCCCATCCAAAATCAAGCTCTTAAACATACACTAAAATTATTAGGAGAATAATGGGGTAGTGTATGAGTTTTTGAAAGCATTATTATATATTGAATGATATACATTATTTGTAATATTTTTTGTTGAAGTATTATGCTATCACAATATGAATTCAAATTATTTTATTTTATTTTGAAAAATTAGATGTAATAGCCAGCTGAGGTGTACTAAAAATAAGATGATATGAATTGAAGGTCATTTAAAGAGCTCATAAAATAATTTTAAAATAAGAATCACAAAAAATATGAATTTTTAGATGTTGGCTCTCATTTTAACACTAAGAGTATGTTTGACATAGCTAAACAAAAACTTACTTTTGTAAATTTTTAGTAATCATTAGCTTTTAGTAACATATTGCAGTTTGATAAAAAGTCGCATGTTTCATTTAGTATGTTTGGTATATATAAAAGCTACTAGCTTCGGCGAGCGTGTTGTGCGACGGCTGATGCCCAATGGAGGGAAACAAGTGAGAAAGGTTCATAAATATATTCCGAAAGCAAAAAAAAGAAAACATTAGTTCAATGTTGTCGATTACACTAATGCAGTAAAAGAACCAAATAAAGCCTGGTAAAAAATAGAAATTTCCAAGTCATGGGACTGAACTCATGGATATACCTCATATGATATCTTGTCTAGAAGCAGCGTAGCTAGAAGGGAGAAGGCTGTCCTGATCCCTGAAAGGCCTGAAAGCTAAGGTCGGAACTCCGAAACTTTTAAATACTTGAAGCAGTGAACGAGTAAAGCAACTAAAGGCCTGAAGCTGCTCCTGTCCTACGCCTGCAACTTGAGAATTCAGTGCCAAAATTGAGGTTTCCATTCGATCTCTTAATATCAATTGCTATGGATATCAAAGAGACAAAAAATATAGCTTTAAGAAGTATGTCCACAACAAGTTGAAAATAATTTGGCACAATAATTAAAAGTTATAACTATGAGTTTGGTCTCTACAACCAAATCCCAGCTGATCCAAATTCGAGCAGGTAGGTTGCTTTTTAGGCAAAACTTTCTCACGTTCAAGACATTCCCGCAAATTAAGCTGCAAAACAACAACATTTAATTAGTCCAGAAGTTTGAAGTACATACACCTTATGGTTCGAAGTAGCAATGACTACAGAAATATCATATATAATTAGTTAATTATCATTATAAAGATTCAGAACGAATCTAGATACAGAAAAATATTGCTTCAGTCCAAAGAGTAGAAAAGAGTAGGAATATGTTTTTCCCATTCTAAGAGAAAGCCTATTTTCTACAGGACAGAAGTTCAACATTAACCTAAAAATGTTACACAAAACAAAATCAGCACCATTGGGAAAGAGAGTTGGGGAGAAATCATCCATTAAATATAGAGAAAAGAGCTCACCGAATCCCAAGAAGACAAAAGAACAACAAGACTCACTAATTGTTTCAGCTTTACTTTTCTAGTGCTCCACTTCCCAAACAAAATTATAAGTTTGATTCAAAATTGAATAAATATACCAGATGAAGTAGCTTTAAATACGACAACAGCTAAATTCTAGTTCCCGAAGGAAGAGAAGCGAGATGCTCTTCTCTTCTGCCGAGATTGATCTGAAGTAATTTATAGTATGACATAATAGAATTTAAAGAGGACGCGCACCACAAACCACTATGATTTCGAAAATATATTTCCATGTTAATATTTTCACCAAATCAAATTCAATCATTGAAGCATGAAAGACTTTTTCTTTTTAGTTAAACACACCTCTTTTCCTTGTACTTAGGCAGCCCTAGCTCCCCTTTTACGAAAATAAAGCACCACCACCTAGACATGAGAAACTGTTCGTAGTCTTTTTAATTAATTATAAGAATAGAGGAAAAGACTGCATTTAATTTTTATTCAGTCTGGAATTATAAATGTTTATGTGACCACAGTACCACTCACCTTTTAGTTCTAAATTCTGAGAAAATATTCACAACAAAGATAACAAACACCTTTCTTAGTTTTATGAAGTGATGATCAAGAGTTTATAATTAAGTTAACCATCATCCTTCCTATTTCATCGGAGAACTTCTGCTGCACATTTCACAAATATCAAAGTAAGGTAAGAAGATATTTTTTTAGAATGATCTTCAATATATTATATAAAACTTAAAAGAAAAGTTAAATGTTTTAAACTTTAAACATACAACAGCTAAATTGTATACCTGATGAAGTAGCTTAAACATGGCAACAGCTAAGTTCTAGTTCCCAAAGGAAGAGAAGCGAGATGCTCATCTCTTTCGCCCAGTACCATAATATTCCTCCCTAAAAAATCATTTATCAATTATTTTAACATTCAAGGAAAAGTAGAAAGTAAGCAATCAAATGCTTAACTGAAAGTGAAGCACAGTGAATGGTTATTTGACAACAGTCAAAAAATTCCTTCCAAAAAATACAGAAAACTTACAATTACCAAGACCTCCCCAACCACAGTCAATGATTCCTCCCTGTCCAATAATTTTAAGTGACTCCAAGAACATTTTTGTGGTTTTCTTAGAATCTTATAAAGGCTTAAAAAATAAATGGATATCAATGTGTGCAAAATACCGAAAAATAATTTTAAATAATTTATAATATGGCATAATAGAACGAATATCATATTAACTAAAAATATGAACCCAAAACACACTTCCCTATACCAAAAACATCCTTGTTGGCCCAACTCATCATACACTTCATGATATGATACATAAAATGGATGCCACTCTAATCCCATAGAACAAGAAGGAGAAGAAAATATGAAGAAATTCTTTAAGTACCTTGTGCAATGGATGAGGTTTTATGACTTTTATCTATGGAAATTTGAATTCAGTATAATTTGGTTTCATGCACTTCATCTCCTCTCTAGGTGTTCCCAATACCTGTATTGTAAATTTACAGAAAAAGAAGTTAATCCGCTACTTTCTTTGCACTACTTTTTCCATTATTAACTGATTCAGTCTAGGAACTAGTCAAAAGTCTGCAGTATCTAAGAGAAATAGTACCCACCTTTATTGTAACACTGTCCTCAATTTTATTTACTTTTATGTAAATCATGTATTGAATCTTATGAACTGGTTAATGAATTTACGAGGTTGTAAATTTTTGTTATTACTTTTGCGTGAATAGTAAATTGCACGCGGGGCCCACACCGGGAGCGGGGACCCCCCTATATTTGCGAGACCACATATTATATTCATTTTGGTCTAGCTAATATGTATATGATGGTGGATATTTTAGTCGGACCATGGAAAGAGCATAGGGTTGACCGTTGGTCAAACAAGGTCCAATTACCGGTATTGGTGATTTATCGGATAACAGTTCGAAATGGATTTCGGAGACTTTCAAATTAAAGTTGAGGAATGTATATTCATTCTAAGAGCCCATAGGGGTTGAGAATGTGTGATATATTTTATTTGGCCCGATAAAATAAAATATAATTAAAACAGTCCGAAAAATACAACTTTTGGGACCGATTGTACAGTTCGGGACATAAAGGGATGACCTCCCACATGAGTGGGGGCCACCCCACGTTTTTGGGTGCTGATAATGTCAAGGGGGGCTGTAAATTATGGGTAAGGTGGGCTGAGGGTGATGTATTGGGTGAGAAAAGACCAAAGGTGGACCTCCATCTCACTCATTTTGTCAAAAAACCACCTCCATAATTTAGACCAAGCCTTTCCAAGAGAGAGGGAACACCCCTGCAAACACTATTTCTCCATAACCAAGAGAGATCAAGCAAGCAAGGAGCTTAAGGGAGAAGGAAAAGGTTGCAAATTAGACAAAAACCTTGAGAATAAAGGTGAAAACCTCTTTAATGACCTTTCTTCTATCTTTTATTTATGATATGGCTAGCTTAGCATATGAGAAGCCCCTAATCTTGTTCTACACGTTTAGAAAGGTAGAATGAGGGGTTGGAAGGTGGTTCGACTTAGAAGCCAAAACGACTGGTTCGCCGGAAAATAACCTTTTAGAGGATATTTGTATTGATATGCGTTTTGTGATGATAAAACCATGTTAGGAGCTTAACTAAAGTGTTTCTAGAGTTCGCCGGAGTTTCGCCGGAGCTCAATCGAGGAGCGTAGAACACGCTAAAACTCATTTAAGGTGAGTGGACAGCTATGTCTTATAACTTTTGGATTAATTATGAGATTACCTAAATAAATGTTATATATATATATATATATATATATATATATATATATATATATATATATATATATATATATTCAAAATGATGTTTAGAGGATATTTAAACATGTGATGTGCCGAAATGGTCGGGCTTGAATGAAATGAATTACTTGAATATACATGAAGTATGATATGAGAACTTTTTTTGAAAATGCATGCTTGACTTGAAAGTGAAAGAAGCATGATAATTTATATTATTAACTTGATACACATGGTGATTAAGTTGATTTGAGTAAGATTTGTAGCGGCGGTCAACGTAACGTTGACCGGTTGACTACGGGACAACCGACACCGGTTGATATTATTTACATGTGAATTTAAATGAATGCATGGCTTTGCATGGAATGATATATGCATAGGCGGCTTTATGAATTTATTTAGCCTTGTATAAATGATTATGATATAGTCCTTATCTAGGTTGATATGAGGTAGATCATAGGGATGGAGAAACCAAGGACTAAGGAGTCCTCAAAACTCATATATATTTCGGTGGAGAACCCAGGGACTAAGGAGTCCTCAAAACTCATATATACATCGGTGGAGGACCCAAGGCCTAAAGAGTCCTCAAAACTCGGAAATACATATGGTGGAGAACCCAAGGACTAAACAGTCCTCAAAACTCGGAATATAAAAATATTTCGGTGGAGAACCCAAGGACTAAAGAATCCTCAAAACTCATATGTATATTGGTGGAGTACCCAAGGATTTTGTCGTCCTTAAAACTCATAGATTTTGATTAAAATTGTGGATAAGGAGGAGTCCTATACACTCATAGGTATATGGATGGGTTGGGATTTTAAGTCAAGGACTGGACTACTAATTTTCCCCAAATAAACGATAACCTACGGGTTAAGTATTTTATAAGTGTATATACTAATATGTATTTCAAGACTTGGGGGAAAAGGGATATAAGTATATGTATCACCCTATGTTTGGGTCTTATACTTGAAACATTAGTTATGCTTCATTTAGCCTGCTACTCGCTCTGTACTTGTACTGACCCCTTCGGGCCCCCCACCATTTTCAGGTTGAAGCTAGGGCTTGCTACCTACACCTGCTACGGCCTATGGGTGAACATCAACTCTAGGAAAACATGGTTCGTGCTTCCTTATTTTCTTTCCAACTACCAAACAATTGCTCATGGATATTTAAATTGTTATAAACATTTTTTTGGGCTTGCATGCCCATGTCTTGGCCGGTTGTGGCATATGTTTTACCGTTGAATATTTCCGCTATTCATTGGTTTAAATGTGATGATGACATGTATGTTTACTACTGAGTATGGATGAATTATTTTCTCTAACGCCTTGTATGATTAAGTGAAGTTGACTTGTGAGTGACGTCGCTTGATCATACGGCGGTTGTACACGCGCTCAAATGTGGTCTGGGCGTGACATTTATGATCTCTACTAATTGGTCAACCTCACTCTCTCCAAGAACTAAAGGCTGTAAAAGATTAATTAGAGTAGAAATTTAATGGTTAAAAAGTATGGAACTATAAATACAAACAAACTGTTAGATTACCTTTCCCAGAAGTAATACTCCCCCCGTCCTGTTGGAATGTTCCCGGTTTGACCTACACACATATTAAGGAAATAAACTTACCAGGAGGTAAATTTTACTGTTTTGACACTGTTTTGACACTGTTTGGCACTGTTTCGACACTGTTTGACACTGTTTTGCACTGTTTGACCCTGTTTTGATGTAGGATAACTTTCCATTTAGGGAAATGAGAACTTTCAACCGGGACATCCAAAAAAGGAAAGCGGGAACATTCCAACGGGACGGAGGGAGTATAATTCTGCCATGACACAACCTGTAGACCAGATGTCAACAGCTGTTGTATATTCAGAGGCACAAAAAATGAGCTGGGAGCACGATAGTGTCATGAACAAATGTATGACACATTGGGTTCTCCTCCCACCTGATATATGTTAGAATATAACTACTTTAAAGACACTAAAAATGAAATTTTAACAAGCCATGCTTCAAAAATAGAAAGATGCCCAACTGTCACACTTTTTTGTCTGTTTTGATATCTATAGAATGCAGCTTTCAAGAAGTTCCCTAAATTAAGTACTCACCAAAACTTTTGCACTTCCAAAATCACAAATTTTCAGATGATGCGTATGCGGGTTCACCTGGGTTTTAAAGGACTGCATCAGCTCATTTTTCACTTTTTCACAGATTAGAAAAAGAAAAATGCTCAACTTCATTCATACGAACAAACAAAATGAAGTATTTATCACTCCCCTTTTAGTTCAAAATTCTAAGAAAATATTCACAACAAAGATAACAATCACATTTCTTAGTTTTATGAAGTCATGAAAAAGAGTGTATAATTAAATGCTAAATACTAACCATCATCCTTGCTATTTCATTGGAGAACTCTGATAGACCCAGTATACTAACAATCACATAATCTTAGCAGATAAAGAAGAAGCAAATAGAAAG